AACATTTTTGTCTTGTTTTTATTTTAAAAAAGAAACGTAAAAATATGACAAAACAAAATTGTGTAGTTTATACAGAAAAATACTGTGAAACATGTTAACATGTAAATATGTTAAAAATGTGTTGCAAGATGCCAGAGACTTTTCACTGACAACAGTGGGAGTTATGATGGCATGACCTTGTAATAGTGAACCAGACCAAGATGGAAAAAAACCTTGATTGGGTGTGGCAAGTATGAACTAAGGATAACTTGTTTTGGCAATAGTTTCCTAGATCGTCATCTTGAGGCACAGTGTTCAACTCTTCATCCCAACCACACCGTAGTAGAGTTCTTTTTTTTTTTTTTTTTTTTATATTGGCCTGGTTCCCTATGACAAGAAAAAAAACCAAAAAAAAAACCACTAGTGTACATTAAATAAATATTTATTATTTATTTAATGTACACTAGTGATTTTTTCAAGATTTCGTTGTTCTTACTCCATAAACAGTTATACTTTTTTAAAACCCTGAGTGGTTATTTGTTAAGTTCAGTGACCACATAACCAAACCCATTACAGGATATATATATATATATATATATATATATATATATATATATATATATAATGTGCCAAAAAATGTTTCCACACTTCAGGAGAGGAAAACTTGTATAGATATTGTATTACTGAATTTATTCAGCCATCATAAGATTAATACAAGTAACCTTTGGATTCTACAATCACAAGAGATGCTCAAAATGTTGGCCTTTAGCTTTGAGACATTTATTAGTATGGTGAACTACTGCTTGGTCAACACTGGCCAAAGTGTGATTACTGCATATGAATTTTCAATTTTTTGTCTAAGGGTCACCAATATAGTCAGTTTTCTGTAATACACAACATCCTTTAGGACTTGTTGATGCTACAGCCATGGTGATAATGTTATCTGCTGAGAAAATACTACAGTAAACAGTGTTATCGCAAAAGACAAGTTTTTCCTTTCCTGAAGTGTGTAGATGTTTTTGACAGACTCTGTATATATATTACATTTTGGGATTGACAAAATCTCTGTTCATTTTATTAAGTAGAAAATTTACTTATCAACTGAACAAATTTTTTGGCCAACCCAATATACAGACATTAAAATAAACAGATCATTATATGAACAAATTGAATAACCAGTAGTTTTTCTGAAGAAAATTCAATTTTCCTGAGATGGAATTTCAACAATGAACTGCAAATAGACAACATATATTTATAAGTGGCTGGGAGTGTCGCCAACACCAACTCAGTCTTTATATTGTACTCATTGCATGTTATAAGCCGTGGACTTGGCATAGAAATTTTCATGCTTTATGTTGAAAATGATATAATGGCTCAGAATCCAAGTCAGATTCATTATATTCCTTTACACACAATTATCCTTGGGAAACATTTGAATCCACTTCTTCTCCACCATTAATTAGAAGAACTTGTATCAATAAATCATAATTATCTCCAAAACAATTCTTACAATCTCATGGTAAAACACATTTTAACTAAATGTACTCAATTAGTCCCTGTAAGACATAAATACTACAAAGGAAACAATATAAGAAAACTATTTGAAAATATTGAAACAGACACCATAATGTCCTACCTTAAAGATTTATACCAAAACATATAACACCTATAATAGATTGTCTTTGAACAATACAGGATGAGATTGATAACTTGTCATCTAAATGATGCAAAAATGGAAATAACACTGACATTTCATTTTAACAGATACATTTACCAAAATTACACAAAAATATCTTGAAATATGAAAGAGTAAATTTATTCAATAAAACCACCATTGGCTTCAACGATAGTCTCCAGACAACTTTGGAATCTCCAGCAACTATTCTGGATGGTTTACTGAATTAAGTAGGTGAATGCTGCCATAATCCTTGCCTTCAGTTCATATTTGGTGTTAGAAGGTGTTTTATTGTTCTCTCGCTTAACTGCACCCCACACATAATAATCAAGCGGGTTGCAGTCTGGGGAGTTAGTAAGGGGTGATGTAGTTGCAGAAATTGTTTGACAGACATGATTGGGTTCTCCTGCTTGTGTGACATGGTGCAAAGTCCTGTTGCCTTCCAGCAGTCACTATCTTGACCCAGGGCAGTGCTACCTCCCCAAGGCACTTGATGTAGGGTCTCTGTGTTGAGTCTGAGGATCTCACCTACAAATCCGGGAGTTCTTTTCTTATCAGAATGATCAGAGTGAGTTTTCTGAGTTGTCGTACCTTTGTAATCACCATTACACTCATCCAACTCTTTCTGAATCCTCTGCACTGTCCTCAGATTGACACCCAAACACCCTGAAATGTTTGTATTGGAGCCTACAGTGTAAATGCCATACAGCATGCCATTTCCAAATTCCTGGTAGAGTGAATTGCATCATGGTGCTCTTTTTCTCACAGATGGTGCCCAACTGACCCTACTATACTGTGCAGTTGACAAAATCAAAAACAAACAATGCACAAAATTAAAATTATAAATTGCCGACAATTTACCAATGGCACCCTGTATATCTATAAATAATACGTTTACGTTGAAAGTATAAAATTATGTACAAAATATATTTAGTGGAAGCCATAAAATTGCACACAAAATGTGTCTAGATTTTGGCATTAAATAACCCATAGAGCTTTATATGCTGCTAAATTAAAACAATCAAACATAGGATGAATTTTGTTTTAGAAATATTAAATATGTTTGATGATTTTGACTTTAAGATAAATGGTTTTAAATTTCAGCAAAAGTTGATTGAAATGTGATAATTGATGTAAAAGATGTGCTGATAAAAAAACAGAAAATATAAAACACAATGTTTATATTTATATTGGTTGCGCAGTCTGACCTCCGCTAGATACTAGTGATGTCATTGTTATGGTAACAGGAAGCATTAATCAATACTATTGATTGAACATTTCCATTCCTGTATTACTATAACAACATATTATCTCCTTAACATTGAAAACAAATTGCTAATACTTTACTATTTAATCCTTATGCCTCATGTTGGCTTTCTTTAAATATTTTAATGATTTAAAAGTAGAATTCATTTTTACAATTGAGCTAATTGCATAAATAAAGATCTTAGATTATTCATGCACAAAATATAGCTAATGCAATTGCTAAATTACTTAATGTTGACATTTTTGAAAGTATGGATTGTTTTAGCATTTTTTGGATATATTTATTTTTAATGATTTAAAAAGCAGAATTCTTTCTGGTATGCCACAGTAGAGTTAATTGTATAAATAAAAAGTAGATTACTCAAACAGAAAATATAAGCGATGCAATTGCAAAATGCCCATTTTTGGATAGTATGTTGGCTTTTTTTGAATAGGTTTATATTTAATGATTTAAAATCCAGAATTCTTATACTACATTCAGTAATAGAATTAGTAATTGTAGAGGTAAAACTAAAAATGGTTCAGATAAAAAAACTCCTACAGAAATATAACCAATGCAATTGAAAAATTACTTCAATATGGTTGTCATTTTTGGATAGTATATGTTGTTTGGTTTGGTTTGTTTTTTACAGCTTATCAACCTCTATGGGTTATTTAATGCTGTTAAAATTTTTATTGCTGCTAATATTTTTTTTTTAAAAATGTATTGCTGATAATAATTTTTTCTTCAAAAATTCATTGATAGTAACAACTTTTTACAAAAATGTTTTGTTGGTATTAAAATCTATATTTACATTTTCATAGTTTGGGGGTTAAGTATTTACCCATAGCTGAGACCCTAACAAGTGCTACCACCCTGGGTCAGGGTGGACTTGGGAACACCAGCAATTAAGAAGTGGTTCTATGCTCCTCAAAACCTGATCAGAGGCCTTGCTGTTGGATGTAGTTTATCATCTTACACAGGACGTGGATGTAGTTTATCGTCTTACTCAGGACACAGTATATGTTGTATTAGTTGCTATGGTAACAGGAGACATTATTCAACATCAATAATTGAACATACCTTGTGTTACCATAATATCTGAATATCTCATTATTAAAAAAGTCATATCAGACTACTAATATAGATTTTATTTTTTTGTTTCATGTCAGTTTTCTTTGGTTATTTGTACTTTTAATGATTTTAAAAGCAGAATTCCTTCTTACATGCAATAATAGAGTTAATTGTAGAAATAAAAAGTCTAACAGGGTTCTTGTAGAAATTTTGCAGAATTAGTTTAATATGGCAGTCATTTTTTATACAATAATCATTTTTTTTTTATACTACAAGTTGTGTTGGTGAAGACATGGTGATTAGTGGCTCAGATTGAGAAATTTGAGTTGCTGAGTTTGAATTCTAGGAGAGTACTTTACATTCACTTGTGTGTTAATACTCTTTGGAAAGGAATGAATCCATCTCATTTCCCCCCAGCTATGGGTAAAATAGCAGGACAGACTGGGCCTTTATAGCCTTGGGTGGCAACCAGTCTAGAAGGCTAGAAGTAGGTAACTTCAAAAAACAAATCCATCTCTGAGAGGAAGTATAGGATAACCTCAAAACCTCTAGTACAAAAGGAACTGTTCTGGTCACCATGAATCCCAGTTGTGAAAAGGAGGGGAATGATGACCACAGTGGCATAAAATAATGATGTAGTGTTGGCTTTTCTTGTATATTTTTACTTTAAATAATTTAGAAATTTGAATTCTTTCTCACACATGAAAATAGAGTTAATTTGTTTTGATAAAAATTCTAGATTACTCATGCAGACAATCTAATCAATTTGTTTGCAAAATTTGCTAAATATAGCTGTCATTTTTTTAACAGCTGAGGTCATGTTAGCTCTCCTTCAATATTTTTACTTTTAACAATTTAAAAAGCTGAATTGTTTCTTGCATGCAACAATAGCATTAATTGTATATATAAAAATCGTACATTACTTGTGCACAATATATGACCAATGTCCTAGCAAAATTACTTAAATATTGCCATCATTTTTTGATGCAATGGTTAAACTAGTAATAAAGTACTGTATTTACTTACCCTTAAGGCAGATATATTATTCGGGAAGCCATGAATTGTGAGCACCATTTCCCTAAAAGAATAAAGATTTAAAAAATGTAAACACAAAAACTGTTTTTTTTTTTTTCATTAAGATGTAAATAAAAAGACAATACTCAAACAGAAAATATAAGCGATGCAATTGAACATACCTTGTGTTACCATAATATCTGAATAACACCAGCAATTAAGAAATGGTTCTATGCTCCTCAAAACCTGATCAGAGGCCTTGCTGTTGGATGTAGTTTATCATCTTACACAGGACGCGGATGTAGTTTATCGTCTTACCCAGGACACAGTATATGTTGTATTAGTTGCTATGGTAACAGGAGACATTATTCAACATCAATAATTGAACATATGTTGTGTTACCATAATATCTGAATATCTCATTATTAAAAAAGTCATATCAGACTGCTAATATAGTTTTTTTGTATCAAAAATAGTTTTAAAAACTTGGAGGGGGGGTCCTCACACTAAAACAAGAACAAAAGTCCATTTGTCCGCAAACCCTTCGTTTTTGAGTTATTAAGTTTAAAGAAATATTATGCTGTCTTGCTATGTAGACTAGGTTATGTTTGTCATTCATGTACATTTGTGGCTTGTTTGTTTTCAATGTTTAATATATGTAGTAGTGAGTTAACTGAGGAGTATTCTATTTAACAATGGCAGGATATTTGTGTCGTGAGCAGGCAGATATGATTTTTACATATGGCCATACAAATGGTAATGGACATGAGGCTGCACAGCTGTATTAGTTTGTTTCATGACTGAAGACAGCCGAGTCATCCAACCTTTCCTACTGTTTATCATTGTGTTGCTGAGACAGGATCTGTAGCACCACAAACTATGGATCAAAGAAGGCCGAGATCCATTTATACGCCTGACCAAGAGGAACACATTCTATGGGCTGTCAGATGATCCATGTATCTTTAAATGTTTATATGGACTTTTGTCTTTGTTTTGGCATGAGGATCCTGTACCCAAAGTTTGTAAAAGTATTTTTGATGCACCATATATATATATATATATATATATATATATGAACAAAAATTTTGTACCACAGAATCTAAATATGGCTTTGAAAATGATGGAACACATTCTTCTAAAGAGACTTTTTTCGTCCAACACATCTTCAAAAAGATTTGTTGGAATGACTATAATCAAAATGGCAAAACTGGGAAGGGTAAATAAGGAGCCACAACTAAAATAAATTTATTACTAAAAAAAAAAAAATTAAAACAAATTGGTGTAAATAATCCCCTAGTGAGTATAAAACTTAAAAAGAATTACTGACAATCCATCCATGAGAAAGAAGAAAGTTCTCTTTCTGTCTGCATAAAGTTGGTTAATGACGCTTGATATAAACAGCCTCTGAAGACTGTAAGAGTTTAACCAACCAAGCATTGTGCATCATCGTAAACGCTTCATCATCATATTCGAAAATGCATCCCAGGTTATTAATTAAATGAAGTCCAATCACTGACTCACAAACTGACTGAGTCAAGTGATTACTGTTACTTGCTACACCCTGTCTTATATAGGCAGGCATGTGTTGTCCAATCAGGGTTTCCAACCACATGTTGGTGTCTAGCTTTTTTAGTTTTGGCATTTTGATTATTGGTATTCCAATGAATCTTTCTGAAGAAATGTTGGACTAAAAGGGTCTCTTTAGAAGAATGCATTGTCATTTTCAAAGCCATATATATATATATATATATATATATATATATATATGTGCATGTTTCATTAAAAACGACAGACAAGGTACTACGGTTGAGCTTTTTATTTAATTTTTCTTGTGTTCTGACAAGAGCTTTCTTTTCTGGACAAAGGGTGTGTAAGAACTGACATTGTCATCAGACGAGCTGATAAATCTAACACATATGTCATACTCGACAATGCTGATTACTAGCAAAAATTAAAAAATATTGTCGATGACCGATCTAAATTCACCAAATTGAAAAGAAATCCCACTGAGACTTTAAAAAGGTCCGTTAACAAGCTAATAACAGCTTACAACGCGGAAGTCGGTTCCCTGAAAATTCAAAAAATAGTTGGAGATTACCAACCGGGATATCTATATGGAAACATAAAAACACATAAACCAGGATACCCGCTACGACCAATTATTTCCCAGATAACAACACCTATCTACAAGCTATCAAAATTCCTTAACGACATCATCACTCCATACCTACCTACCAATTACAGCATCACATACACCCACGAATTCCTACAAATTTTAAAAACTACAAAAGAAACAAATCAAAGTATAATAGCGTCACTGGACGTCGAAAACTTATTTACAAACATCCCCGTCGATCAAACTACTGATATTATCCTCAACTCTGTATACAATAATAATTCCATCCCTCCGCCATCCATCAAACCATCCATCCTAAAAAAATTACTACACACATGCACAACCAAAGTCCCATTCTATGACCATAATGGCAATATTTATACCCAAACTAATGGTGTTAGTATGGGAAATCCACTCGGTCCATGCTTTTCCAACTATTATATGTCCCACGTAGAAAATACTATATTTACACAGGTCCACAAACCAAAAATCTATGTTCGCTACATAGACAATATCTTTATTTTAGCTGATAACATTAAAGAAATAGAGACACTTAAGACCACATTTGAGAAAAACTCCATCCTTAACTTTACATATGAACTTAACCAAAAAAAACAAACTACCATTCTTAGATGTCCTCGTTGAACACAACAATAACACTTTCATTACATCATTATACAAAAAACCCACCAGCAAAAACTCGTGCCACCTTAATTTCAAAAGCGAATGTCCACTTAGGTACAAAGTAGCAGTAATAAAAAACTTTCTAAATAGAGCACACCAGAACTCATCCTCTCGACTACTCTTTCTCAAAGAACTTAACAACGTTAAACAAACACTAATCAACAACGGTTTCCCTAACTACCTTATAGACCAACAAATTAGACCATTCCTCCCCAAAGCAAGTAATAACAATAGTGAACACACAGCTAAAAATCACATACACATTTATTACAAAAACCAAATGCATATTAATTACAAACAAGACGAATCTTCTCTAAGGTATATTATAAAGAAATACACTACTCCTATTGATCCGAATAAAAAAATCAAACTTATTATCTATTATAAAAAATTTAAGACAGCCAACCTTATCCTCAAAAATAACAACACACCAACTAAGTCAAAATTACAAAGAACGAACATTATCTATAAGTTCAAATGCCCTTTAAGGAACTGCGTTCCTCACCAAACCGGACTCATAAATAATTACATCGGCTACACAACCACATGTTTATCCAGACGTCTTACGTTACACCTATCTGATCCTTAATGCACTTGATGTAGGCCTCTGTGTTGAGTCTGAGGCCCCCACCAACAAATTCAGGATTTCTTTTCTTATCAGAATGAAGAGTGAGTTTTTCAAGATGCTGAACCTTTGTAATCACTATTACCCTCATCCAACTCTTTCCAAATCCTCTGCACTTTCCTCAGATTGACACCCAAACACTCTGAATGTTCGTATTGGAGCTTCTGGCACTAATTCAAAGCATTACAACATGCCATTTCCAAATTTCTGGTGGAATGAATTGCATCATGCTGCTCTTTTTCTCACAGACGGTGCCTAACTAACCCTATTATACTGTGCAGTCAAAATAAAAAACAATGCACATGTGCAAAATCAAAAATATAAATTGATGACAATTTACCCATTGCACCCTATAGTGCAAATAACTGAATAATGAGTTCAATTCTCATTTAGTACCCCATACTTTTGGCCTTGTGCCACATCTAAGCTATGCTTAGCAAATCACCATAACTTGACAAATACTTGGAGTTAGGACAAACATTCTGAAATCCTGAAACTGTCTACTTTCAAATAAGCAATACCACATACCACTTGAGAAATGTCCTAAAAATACTGAATGTCCCTTACCTGTCCACAATCTATAACTCTTATGACATTTAGTACAATGCTATGTTTCTCTTTGAATTTCTGAAATGAAGAGTTACTATTATTTACACTGTTTATATTTAGACTGTTGTCCTCATCTTTTTTGTTGTTATCACAGTGTTTCAGACATTATGCCCTGCAGCCTTCATCAGGTATGTGTCGATCTGGATAACCTACAGGGAATTCCAAACTGAACCCTTTTTTTAATCTACAGAGGTAGATTATTCTTGTTCCATTGTCCATAGCTAGGGATATCTTGTCTAGTTCTTATTTTTAGTACTGCTCAGTTATTACTTACATCTGTTTCCACTGTGCCCAAAAACACTGCTCAGCCACAGGACAATAACCTAGTGAATTAAAGTTTTGGTTTTGTGAATTTGCTGATATAGTAATTGTGAGTTCAATTCCTGGGTTGTACTTGGTCTCAGATGATAACCACTTAGCACATTTTATTATTTTTTTTATTTTATTTTCTCTAATTTCATGTTGCCCTCTGTCATAATTGCTTTCTTTTTTTTTTTGTTGTCCCCTTTTAATTATAGCTCATTTTTTTTCTTTGCTATAATTAAATTTTGTATCTCTAATAAAATCTTCAAAAAGTTTTTTTTTTAAAGCTACAAAGAAACAATTTACTTTCTTGGGAAAGGCATGAATCCATCTCCCCTCAACAATAGGCAAAATAGTAGAGTAAACTGGGAATTTTACCTGTAAATAAATTTATACCTGGTTCAAGTTGGAATGTTAATTAACTTAAGAAATTATCTTGATAGCTAAATGAGGTAATTTGGATTTTACTAGCTTACCAAAAGTACCTTGATTTCTGTATTTTCCAAGTATGTTTTGGCAACTCAAAAAGCATTTAATCTCAATAAAATGAATTAGTACCTGTGTTTGGATTTGAACTACTGACTTAAGAGGATTTTAACATGTATGATCATGTAAAAAAAAAGAAGCATACCCGTTAACATTACTCTCAATTAAAAAAAGGATAATTGATATAATCCAGATGGTCTATAGCTTTGCCTAAATTGAGAAATTAATTTTGTTATGTTTT